GGGGACTTCTCCCCTTGCACACCCAGCCCTGCCTCTTGTTGCTTTTGAGGAGCTCATTTGTGGTTGTGCTGTCCTTGGCGAAGCCCCATCCCAGCCTAAAGCATCCCCTTCTATGCTTGCAGGAACAGGAGGGACCTGCAAGTACTTTGCAGCATGGAGCAACTGCTCTGGGAGGTGAGATAATGTGCACGAGGAAGCAGGAGGCTTTCCAAGTGCCCGTCGATTGAGGATACGCGTTGAGGATGGGGGTAGAAGTGGCCCAGGCTTGGGTCTGAGGTGGAGCCACAGAGCTAAAACACATCCTGATAAGCCGGTGGTGCAAGGCTCTCGGTGTCAGGGCTGAGGCTGGGGCACAGTGACGGGGAGGGAGAGCGGTGGGGCCTGGCTGCCTGCACTTGTCCGCTGGGAGCACAGGCTCTGCTGACATCAGGGCGCAGCGTGGTGATGTCACAGCTGTGATGCAGCACCTGGCATGTTCCCCAGTGGTTAGGCCGCTGGCTTGCGGGGAGAGCTGGGTTCCTGTCCCAGCTCGGCCACACCTGGGTGCCGGGTCCGAGCGCGTTGCTTCCTCTCAGCTTCCTGCCTCCATTTATTCAGACCTCAGCTGCGCAGGATAGCGGCTGTCTCGTGTCTGTGCGCCGTGTCTCTGTGTTGCCATCATGCGGGATGGCTCAGATGGGGAACTCCTGGCCCTTTCCCATCAGCTGAGCGGATGAGAGCTGGCTTTGCCAGCCCGTTGGGGCAGGAAGGGGCAGGAGGGTGGTTGGGAGAGGGCTGGTGCAGAGTCCAGGAGGGACTTGGGGGCTAGCTGGGAAAGGGGATGCTTGAGAGGGGACCTGGGGTCCCTACTGTGGAAGGGGGAGCTGCCACGGGCAAGGGGGGTCTTGCCGCCAAAGCAGGAGGTGTCAAAAGAGCCGGGAGGGGCCGGGAGCACTGGTGGAGGCGTCGAGCAGCGGTAAGGCATCTCCCCGAGGTCCCGGATAAATCAGTACATACGATCCGGTTGTGTTTGGTCGGACGTGCTTCACAGGGATCGCCACGCTGTGCCGGGAAACGACGAGTCTTCCCCAGGAAGCCCCACAATATCCATCGACTACGGGACGCTGCCTCTGGCTATAGATTATTATTATTGCAGCGACCTTGCCTTAAGCTCCCCAAATGAGATCAGTTGCTTTTGGGGTCCTATAACCCCCCCCGCCCGCCAAGAGACAGCCCCTGACTCGGAGGGTTTCCAGCAGTGGGCTGCACTGGAAACAACAGGGCACCGATGTGAAGTGGCTTTGTGAAGTCGGTCAGGAAGGAGAAGCAGGAACCCAGTGCTGGTTTCCTCTCTCCTCCAGCCCAAACCTCCCGTTCATAAAATTCCCACCCCGCACTGGAGCTAGCTGTCCAGCCCTCTCAGCTGGAGGCTCGGGACTGAACCATCAGCAGATCCCTGGCTTCCCTTCCTCTTCAGAGGCCTCGCGGCCTGACTGTCTTGCTTCTGAGAATAGATAGAGGGCTCCATTCCCCAGGGTTTTCTCGTAGGAGATGAAATGAGTCGCTGTATAAACCTAGACGGAGCGGGATGCAGACAGCGATGAGAGGGCACGTTCGTAACGGACAGGTAAGTGCGCGTGGCGATTTGTCTAGCTGGGCCAGAAGGAACCAGCCTGATCGTTTAATCCGATCTCTGCGCAACGGCTCTAGAAATAATTCTGCTTTGAACCTGGTCCCGAGGATTCATCTATGCTATGGCCTTTAGAGAGGCATCCCGGTGTTGGTTTTAAAATGCCCGGCGATAGAGAAACCGCCAGCTGCTTCAAAGGCTAAGGGCATTCGCTGGGAATAAACATGCCCCTTATTTCCGCCTAGGTTCACCCGTCAGCTGCTGGGTCTTGTTCTACCTCTGTCCGTTGGACCGAACAGCCCTTCGTCAGCAAAGTCCTCATCCTGGAGAGATGCTTGTGACTGGGACCGAGTCGCCCTTACCTATCGCTTGATACGCTAAGTGGATGAAGCTGCTTGTCTCTCTGGTGGCAAGATGGGTTTTCTGGCTGGTAAAGCGCTCCTGTGGGTCTTCGTGGAGTCCCTGGGCTCCTCCGGCATCCAGACCGGGGCTCGCCGATGCCAGGCGCAGCGTGTCCGGTAAGGGCAGAACCGCATCGCCCAAAAGGCCGATCCCCGGCTGATACCGGCTGCTTGCAAGGCAGCCAACCTCTGTCACCTGCAAATGGATTAAGGGCCTGATCCACCCTTATGTGCTCTGCTCAAGTGCCTAAGTGGTGAAAGGGGCCCGACCCTCTGAATTTCTAGGCTGCTTGTAGCCCTACAAGGTGCTGTGAGAAGCCAGCCTAGGGTGGCTCCCGGGTGCCTGGTCTGCCACGTGTCTGAGCTGATGATGCACTGGAGCCCCCAAGGCTTTGGCGTCTGCCTCCCAAGCAGACCAGAGCTGGGAAGAAGGGGCAGGCCTTCCCCACGCAGAGATCAGGACCCTTGCCTTGGTGAGGCCCCCCTGCAGCTGAAACCTCTCTCCCCCACACCTTAGGAGGGCCCTGGGGTGGGGGGCATGACCTGCCTTTCCACACGCTGCCTCTGCCAAGCACTTGGAAGATGCCCAGACCCCTGAGGGCGAGCAGGGAGGGACCCGGCGCAGGGTCCCCAGCAGCTGCCCCAGCCCAAGGCTTCCTGGACTCGGCAGCACAGGCAGGGAGCTCTGCAACTGCCCTATCCCTGCATCCACTCCTGGACTGTGCTTGATCCCGGGCCAGGCTGCCCGTGGGGAGAACAGCCTGCATGGGCGGGGGGGCAGAAAGCTTGGCACAGGCTGTTCCTTGTCCCGGTGCAATGTTTAGGTTGAGTTTGGGCAATCAGCTCCCTTTGAGCATCCTGGACGTAATGCACTGATGCCCTTTGCATCACCAGCTTTTAGCTGCAGCAGGGTGCGTGGAGCAACTCTTCTGCCACTTACCTCTCTGCTCTCAGTGTGAGCTGCACCCTTTGCCCCCACGTGCACGGCCTTCCCTGAGCCCTCAAGTGAGGGGCTTCCCAAGGGACCCGGAGCACTGCTCTGTCCCGGGGACAATCTTTGTGTCAGCTGCTCTTTACCAGCACTGATCTGATGTTTCCTTCCAGCCCCTGGATGAAAATCATTGCGCAGAGCATAAGTCAATGAGCCAGTCCTCGCCGCTTCCAGCCCGAGCCTGCTGCCTTCTCATCACAGCTGGTACAGAGCAGAGGGCTGGCAGGAGCCCCAGGAGGTCTCCAAGCTGCCCCCCTGCACCAGGGCAGAACTGAGGCTATCTGCCCCAGCCCTGACAGGGCTTTGATGATGGTTCCTCATTCTCAGTTGTGTTCGGACACCTCCCCGTGAGTCCATGGGTCAACTGGTTTAATTCATCTAACGTTGGTACAGTGTGGGGGGATGGATGGATGGGAAAAAGCATGTGGGGATAGAGAGAAAGTACGGGGAGGGAGGGATGGGGTTTAATTCATCTAATGTTGGTAGAGTGTATGGGGATGGATGGATGGATGGATGGATGGGAAAAAGCATGTGGGGATAGAAAGTATGGGGATGGATGGATGTGGGGATAGGAAGGAAGGAGCATGTGGGAATAGAAAGAAAGCATGGGGAAGGAGGGAGGGAAGGGTGGATAGAGGGAAGGAAAAAGCATGGGAATGGATGGATAGATAGGGTTTAATTCATCTAACATTGATAAATTATGTGGGGATGGATGGATGAAAAAAGCATGTGGGGACAGAAAGAAAGTATGGGGATGGATGTGGGGATAGGAAGGAAGGAGTGAGTGAGTATGTGGGAATAGAGAAAAAGCACGGGGATGGATGGATGGATGGATGGAGAAAGTGTATGGGGATAGTGAGAGAGAGCATGGAGAAGCAGGGAGGGAGAGAGGGATGGATAGAGGATGAATGGGGAAAAATAGGATATGGGAATGGCTGGGTGGCTGGATGTGAATGCTGATGCCAGCAGCCAGATCTAATCCCGCAGTTTTTTCTTCCAGCCGTCTACTTGCCCTCCACGCTCTCTCCTTCATCCCTGCATGGTTCACAGCCCTTTGCCAGGCCAGGTGTGACTCTTGGTCGCTGTCTCTTTGCATGGTGCAGAAGCCAAGTGAGGACAGTGCTTTCTGGTACCTAGGAGGGATTTCCTTTCGGCAGGAGATTCGGGTCAGAGCACCCCACATCAGCTGTGGTGAGGTGGAAGCCGCCGAGAGCAGGCCTCTGCTCAGTGCCAGTGCATGTGCATGTGGAGAGGTTTCACTCCCCTGGGAGCAGGGTGCAAGTGGCATGACGGTGACCGTGAGCCAGATGCTGAGAATAATACAGTACAAATGGGGCCCTGCAGAGCAGGTAGTGGGGGAAAGCCCCAGCTGGTCCCTTCTTTAGCAAGGGCGCAGAGAGACATAAGGGGCCGAGCAGGGGCTGTACCTTGCACAGGGGTTCATCCAGCTGGCGCTGGCTTTCCGTCATGCTTGGCCTGGGCCTCACCCCGAACCAAGGCGGTACCTCCTTGGCATGATGCTGCTCTGCACTGGGCCTGGGTTACACCTCGTGGACCTGAGTCTCTTGCTCTGCCTGCAAAGCCGTGACCAATCCCTAGGTTGAAAGACACTTTCTGCCACCCCCCAGCAGCTGGCGGAAGATGTGTTGATGCTCCTGTTCTTTCCCCATCAGCGGCTCTGCCTTCCCCAGCAAGCTGCCAGGTGTGGACAAGGCCTGGGCACATCCCGGGTGCAGCCCACTAGGCAAGCAGAGGTGCCACGGGGAGATCGGAGGCCGAGGGTCGCATCCAGCCTTGCATGGGAGGCTGCAATCCCGCCAGCCACCCCCGCATGGGGGTCACCCTTGTATTCTCCCCATCCCTCCGGAGTCCTCAGTTCCTCTGCAGCAGGTGAGTCACAACCCACAGCTGGGCTCGGCTGTCCCTGGGGCAGGAAAGCGAGGGCTCCCTTCCACCCACTCCTGCTCACAGGGCAAATCTCTGGGAGTGTGTGCCCTCAAGCCTGCTGCAAAGGGGAAATGAGGGCCTCTGCGGCACTCAAAGGTGTTTGCTATTGTCAGATGCCCGCCACAAGCACCTCTCAGCTGCTCTTGGGTGGGGTCATCATCCTGAAAAAGTTTGTGGTTTAGTGTGTTGTAACTTCCCCTTTTGTTTCTCTTATAGGTACAAACAGACTCGGGCAGCACTGTCAGTGCCACCTCTGGGGGAGCCTTGTGCTAACATCTGGAGAGCCACTCTGACTTTCGAGCCCTCGTGCATGGGGCAGCAGAGAAGCAGGGAAGCTCTTAGCCGGTGAGTCCAGGGAGCCCATGCAGTGCTGGGCAGGGCTGGGTGAGGCTGAGGGCAGCAGGCCGCAAGACAGGGAGCATTGCAACCCAATCGGATGCTTTTCTTGGGAGGCATCTCTTGAATGCCAGCATTTTAATCGGTGGGGACACTTGGGTTCTGTTTCTGACTGCCACCAGCTCCCCATGTGGCACTGGGCTTTCCTCTCACTTTCCCTGTCTATCCCCTGGGAAAGGGAATGCCTCACCAAGCTGCTCTGCAAGGGGCTTTGAGACCCTCAGAAGCAGAAGGTGCAATGCCAAGGCTGATGCAGAGATTTTTTTTTCCAGGTCTGCTGGGTTCATCCTGCCCTTGCATTGCAGCAGGAGCCCCAGGCTCAGGTTACCTTGAGAGGTCCGTGCCTGTTTGTGCAGGCTGGGATAGGCACGCAGGGACAGACTTTACACATGAACCAGTTTAAGTGATCGGACACTGGTTTAAACCTGTAACAGAACAAACATGTAGTGCACATAAACCAGATTGAAAAGGGCTGAAACCGGTTTGAGATAAACCTGTAGTATCAGACTGAACTGATTTGGGTCAAACTAGTTTATGCACTGTCTGATCCAGATCCCAGAGAAGGGAACTCAACAGGGCTGGAGCCTGGGAGCTTCTTACCGATAGAAGCAAAGAGGGTATTTGGGTGCAGGAGGAAGGATGCAGGAAACCAGCTCTCAGCTGCAGACAGATGTGATTTTAAATCGGTTTAAAAGGGGAAGGGGGTCTTAGCACTGCAGCGTGCATCCACTGTTCCAGTGCAACTGTTATATCTGTCTGCTGCTGCACCAGGCTAAGGGAGCTAAGCCTCTGCCTCACTAACCTGAAGGAAGCAGGGCTAATGTAATGTACTCCTTAGATGGGACAGGTGCACTGGAACAGCTTATACCAGTTTACTGGAACACACTATAAATGCTTTGTCTGTCCACAGCCTCTGAGAGGCCAGATGCATGGGTTACCTTCATGCAAGCTGACATAAACCTAAGCCCCTAGCGCAGAAGCCTTTCTGCAGGCTTGGGAGTGGCAGTGCCACCCCTACTCCATGGCTAAGGAGCTTTCATTGTAGCTCCAACATCTTCTTGGGTCATCTGTCCTCACCAGGTAGCTAGCTCTGGAGCAAGAATGCACACGCGCCTCCACCCCACCGTAACACCAGAAAGATGGAGAACCACACAGTTGGTTACTGAGAAATGGTTTCAGCTGAAATAGGGAGGGTCAACACTAAAAGATTCACAACAGGAAACCTTTCTTGAACAACAGGAAGCCATCACTGCTATCCTGACGCCTGCCATTTCACAACCGTTCACTGCTTGTCTCTTGTCTTTCACAGAATGACAGGCTCCCGGTTGTGGTCTTTGATCCAGCAGGAAGCACCCGACTTGGGTCCGGTTGTGGTCCATCCCTCTGTCTGCAGGTGCCAGTAGGAGCATCTCTTTCTCTGCTCCATTGCAGGCCACTGTCAACGTTAACCCTGGTCACTGCTTCCCCTCCAAATTTGCCCAGTCTATTGCTAAGCCACTTGTCCACTCCCTCTCTGCCCTCATGGAGATCCCTGAAGCCCACCTTTTCCTGGCGTCCAGCATGGACTCGTGCCTGCAGCTGGTCGCCCAGAAGAACATCAACATCATCCTGCAGCACTACAACTACACTGGGAGGCTGAGCCACCGGCGGTCCCAGGGGGACGGGATGAGCCTCGTCAGCATCCTCGTCATCGTCGTCAGCTCCCTCATCGTGGCGGAGAACCTGCTGGTGCTGCTGGCCATGTGGAGCATGCGCACCCGCCGCTGGGTCTACTCCTGCATCGCCAGCATCACGGTGAGCGACCTGCTGGCCGGAGTGGCCTACGTCTTCAACCTCTGCCTGTCGGGCAGGAAGACCTTCCAGCTCTCGCCCCAGCTGTGGTTCCTTCGGGAGGGCATCCTCTTCATCGCCCTGGCTGCCTCCATCTTCAGCCTGTTGGTGACGGCCATCGAGCGCTACAGCACCATGGTGCGGCCCATTGCCGAGAACGAGAGCACCAAGGCCATGCGCTTGCGAGGCTTCATCATCTCCTTCTGGGTCTTGGCCATCCTCATCGGGCTCTTGCCTCTGTTGGGCTGGAACTGCCTGTGCAACTTCGACAGCTGCTCCACCCTGCTGCCCCTCTACTCCAAGAAATACGTCATCATCTGCGTCTTCGTGTTCAGCATCATCCTGATAGGCATCGTGGGCCTCTACGTTGCCATCTACCGCCTGGTGCGGGCGGCCTCGAACACCCGCCACAGCAACCTGCGCTCCCTGCGGCTCCTCAAGACCGTCTTGATCATCCTGGGTGCCTTCATCTTCTGCTGGAGCCCGCTCTTCGCCTTGCTGCTCATCGATGCCTTCTGCAAGCCCCAGGCATGCAAGCACCCCTACCCGCTGGACTTCGCCCTGGCCATGGCCGTGCTCAACTCGGCCATCAACCCCATCATCTACTCCTTTCGCAGCGCGGACGTGCGCCGGGCCATCATGGGCCTGCTGTGCTGCTGCTGCATCCGCCTGGGGCTCCGCGGGCCCGGGGACTGCTTCGTCGTCCCCAACATCCACTCGGGCTCCTCCACCGAGAGCTCCCTGCGTTACCGTGACAGCTTCCGCAGCCCCGTCATATCGAGCCCTCGCCCGCGGGCGCCTCTCTCCAGCAACTCCAGCATGCTAAGCAACCCCTCCAGCATCTGAGGGGGCTTCACTGGAGGGCCAGCCTACCAGGACGTGACTCGCTTCCGGCTCTGGACTTGCCATGCTTGACCCGGGGGTGGAAAAGAGACAGGCGGGGATTGAGGCAGTGGGGTTTCGTCTGTAGGGATGACATCCCACGGCTCAGGCTGGGCTCTGCCCCAGGAAGACATGGGAAGCGAGCACGTGATTGACCCAGCTGACATGCTTGAGACAACCTGGCAAAGGCAGGGCCTGCCCACAACTGGAGGACGGGCATTGCCCCGGGGTGCGTGACGTGCCTGCATTTATGGAACTGGCAGGGCTCCAGGGTGATTGCTGTGCTTGGGGTTGGGGACAAGCTGCTACGCAGTTGGATATATGCAGTGCCCCTGGCTATGAGGTGGCATAACAGGCTGGCCTGTCCCTTTAAGAGAGGGCAGCCAGCCCTGCTGAGCAAAATGCAGGCTGTGCAAAGGCCGGAGGCACACAAGGGACCCCTGCCAGTGTCCGAGACAGGACAACAAGGTTGCGTGTGTGTGCTTGCTTTATTTCAGGACTCTTGTTTTATAGATGAGGACTGGCTGAGGAGCTCGGGGAGCTAGGACCTGCCTGGAAAAGCCCACATGCAAGGCAACCCGCTTACGCACGGGCATGGCACCACGGTGCAGCCTGTGTCCATGGTTGGAGAGGTGGCGGTGGGGGTGGGGGGGAATAGCACGTTTTCTCCCTTGAAACATCTGCTTTTTTATTTCCCCCCAAAACCAGCTGCTGGAAATTGTGGTGCGCCTCATAAGTGAGGAAATATAGTAACAGCGGTTTGGGCTGCCTGAGCTTCTGCAGGGGGAAAGCGAAAGCCACTCGGCACCCGATCCACAGGGCGCAGAACAAGGAGCAGGCTCTGCTCCCTGCCTGTTGTAAGGGAAGATCTTTTTTAAATCCCTTCTGCCTCTCAGAAACAAGGTGTGTGTCTTATTCCGGGGCATGTTGCATGCGGGGAAATATGGTAGATGCTCTGCCTGCTGCCGTGGGGTGGGCACAGCTGCCTGGGCACTGGGTGTGAATAGCAGGGATGGGGCACTCGGCTGGCACGCCCGGACCGGATGCTGCACCAGTATCCTGTGGTTAGACAGCGTGAGCTGCAGCCTCCATGCAGCTGCCAGGCAGATGCAGCTGGGGCATGGCAGGGGCAGGGAGCCATCGAGCCACCCCAATCTGTTGCCCCAGGCCCCTGTACCAGGGGGATGGGGTCTCTGCTGTGGCTGTGGGGAGTTGCAGGCGCCGTGCCAGCCTGACTGCGCTGTCTGCGGTGAATCACGGGCCAGCTGCACCTCTGTGCCCTGGGGCTGGGCAAAGCT